CGCGGTTGGGTGCAAGTGCGACCAGCACCTCTTTGAATTGTTCGGCCGTGATTCCAACCCTCTGAATGAGGGCCTCAGCCTCTCCGGTGGTGATGGGAGGGTTCCGACCTCCAGTGGTGTTGTTCTCTCCCTGTTGGGGAACTCCGGTACCCACATTAGCGTTACTGCGTGTTTGCACCATCGTCTTAATGGAGGGTTTCCTCTGAGTATGATTCTCGAACTCTCAACGAGAGCACCAATTTGATGGACAATAAATCCACCAAATGATCCGATTCACGAAGCGGATCGTAAGAACAAAATTCAGAACGAGAATTCGAGAATTGGGTATGTATTATTAGCTTGATCTAGCTTGAATTTCCTCCTTTTGGGTCTCATCTATTTATACCTGAGCTACATGCACTTAAGGGTAACGCATAATCGATGGAGTCTATCCCGTTAAGGGTGCGATCCCCTTTTTCAGGCTCTGTAACGGCCAATTTGCTCCGTCTCCTTCTCCGTAACCGGCTCTGCCAGCTATGTTTGGTCTAAAGTCAACCGGGCCTGGCTCCATGGGCCGGCCCAGACCTGGGTATTTTCCGAGTGTCTGACCCGAAGTGGTGTAAATGGTTCAGTTGGGCCGCCCACTGGGTTTCGGCCCATCACATGGATTAATGAATCAAGTTGCTACTAATTTGACATCCCAACACACAATATTTTCAAACAGTTTAAAACCTCCAAACAGCTCGTATAATAAAATTCGTCATCAGAGTAAAATTCAAACACTGCGGAAGCTTAATTTATTTAACCAAACACAACTTGGGACTCATGCCCGAAAACATAATAAGTTATTTAGGAATAATAATTAATTCCAAATCCTCGACCAAGACCACCCACATCTCTTCCTCCTCATTACTCTCTAGGATCGGCTCTAAGTTCATAATGTCCTTGATTACATATGTGTAGCAAATAAACAAAACTACACGCTCAACAATGACGAAGTGAGTGAGAAATATCTAACGGAGAAAGATTTTATACACGCTCAGTTATACAAAATATCTCTTTCTTAAATGCATTATAAATCAAAAGGAGAAAGGTTTTAAAAGATGGAAGAAGTAATAGTGTTTCGATAAAGACCCTTTGACAATAGTTGTAGCATTTTGCCTTACTATTTTGAGAAACTTTTGAAGTAAATCAACAATATATTAAAATGCGGGAAAAATTACCCAAAATAATCCCAAGTTTACCTGGTTTTTCAAAAATAATCCCACCTTTCACTGTGATGCATATTAATCCCAACTTTACTGAAATTTGCCAATTTTGGGTCGCTGTTAAGTTTCTAACGAAGGGTTAACGGAAATGCCCGTTTTGGGCAACAAAATGAAAGTTGGGATTATTTTTGATGAATTTTCATTTTTTTCATTTTTTTTAAATTTTTTTATTTAAATTTTTTAAATTACTTTCTACCTCCATCATCATTTCTTTTTCCTTTTTTAAAGATTAGTCTTAGTTTAAAAAAAAATAATAGATATAAAAAATGAAAAAATGAGAAATGTAACTAAAATGATACAAAAATAATAAAATAAATAAGGTAATCAATGAAAACTAATTTGAAATTGGTAAAAGTAAAATAAAAATATACGGGTGGGTTTTAATATTTTATGTACTATACAAAGTATTAACATGTCACTACTTATTTTTTTAGAAAAAATTATCTACAATAATTCCAATTTTACCGGACGGCTTGTTCTTTTAAAAAATAAGTAGTATATTAAGACTTCGTATAGTGTATAAAATATTAAAACCCATACTCCGTATATATTTATTTTATTTCTTACCAGTTTCTGTTTAATTTCTTTTGATTGCATTATTTATTTGATTAATTTTGTATTGTTTTAGTTATTTTTCTCTTTTTCATTATTTTTTGTATCTATTTTTTTTCTAAGGTAAGAATAATCTTTAAAAAAGAAAAAGAAATAGAGGTTGAAAGTAATTAAAAAAATTTAAATAAAAATTTCAAAAAAAAAAGTTAAAAAACAAAAATTCATCAAAAATAATCCAAACTTTCATTTTGTTGTCTAAAACAGGCATTCCGTTAACCCTCCGTTAGAAACTTAACGGCAACCCAAAATTGGCAAATTTCAATAAAGTTGGGATTATTATGCATCACAGTGAAAGATGAGATTATTTTTGAAAGACCGGGTAAAGTTGGGATTATTTTAGGTAATTTTTCCTAAAATGCGTCATAATTTAAAATCCTGAACTAGTTATAGTGTCATTCCAAAGCATGGCCCTATATGTTACACAAGTGCTATCATGGACCTAACATCTACATAGATCTTCTCTCATAAACTTTTGTTTATTTTTTTTATTTTTTCCAAATATTAAAAATGCTTATTTCGATAGTAAGTAAATGTTTGTTTATTTATTTATCATGTACTCCTCATAGGCACACCATGAATTTTAATTTGCCTAGCCTCTCCCGACTATCATTATATCCTGTACTAGTCTAGCTTTTCGATAACTTTTAATTAAATGTATGTTTTCATAGATTATTTGATAAAATAAAGTATTTTTATCGTTGCATCTTATTTTGTAGAATCTTTGTTATAATTGTTAAATATGTAAGATATATTTTGATTCTAAACTATTTTTTAAATAAAATACATAGAATATTTGAAATATATAAAATTTTATATATGATTCAATTTCTCGGGGATGGAGTATATCACAATATCTTACCTTCATATACAAGGTAAGGAAAAATTGAAGCAGAAGACCCTTTGAAAGTGGAAAATTGATCCAAATCCAATCTAGATTTTTTCCTTTTCCCTTCCATCACAAACATCCCAATCTATACATAGTGCTTATTCGTACACGTCTCAACAACAACAACCCAGTTAAATCCCACAAGAGCAGGGTCTGGGGAGAGTGTGTGTACGCAGACCTTACTCCTACTCGAAAGTAGAGAGGCTGTTTCCAAAGAGACCCTCAGCTCAACATCGAAAGTTGCATTGCTTAACTAACTACTACTTCATTAATTAAAGAAGCGCAGACAGTTTAGAGATCCATTTTGATTTATTCCATCACACCCCAAAGTTAAAAATGGTGAAATTTTGGCTCCATCGGAGATGATGGAAAAATATTCGTACACGTCTCAATCTCTACAAATTAAAAGCCGCCTCATGCATGAATTTTCAAATCCTCTGACCTCCCATGCAATTTCCTCTCTATTTTTTTTTTAAATTATAATTTTTCAAACACGTTTATCTCTCTCTCTATATATATAGAATATATAAAGTGTATGCATATATACTTATAACATAAAAAAATGGAATTATGGAAAGTGTTTTCTTTTAGCGTTGCCGTTTTGATATTGGCCGCAACATCCCAAGCGCAACCACAATGCGGCAGCCAAGCAGGCGGAGCATCATGCGCCGCCGGGTACTGTTGCAGCCAGTACGGCTACTGCGGCACCACCGCGGAGTACTGTTCTCCGAGTTCCGGGTGCCAGAGCCAGTGTTCGCCCTCCGGAGGAGCTCCGCCGGCGACACCTGGTGCCGGCGGCGATATTAGCGGCGTTATCCGCGAGGCGGTTTTCGACGAGATGCTGAAGTATCGGGACGATCCTCGGTGCCACGCGCCTGGGTTCTATACGTATGACGCCTTCATCGCCGCCGCTAAATCATTCGGAGAGTTCGGGACGACGGGGGACTCCGACACCGTGAAGCGAGAAATCGCCGCCTTCTTGGGTCAAACCTCCCACGAGACTACCGGTTAGTTGGTTGACTTTTCACAAAGACAAATACAGCTAAACTTTCTTTTTTTACTGTCGTACTACGTGTCTACGTCCAAACAAATTTCTTACTCCCTATCTTTTCAATTTTTGTAATAGACTTTTTACGATTTTTAATCTAATATTTAGATTATTTATATACGGAGTATTTACTTATAGATAGATATATTTTATAAGCATATATAATATTTCAAAATCATTTTGTTGATTTAAATTTATTATAGCAATTTAATACGGACTATTTTTTTTCTCACAATATTTAGTCAAAATTTTATAATGTTGACTTAGAAAAGTTAAACGGGAAAGATTCCAAGATGTAGGGAGTATTGTTCATTTTTTTGTCAAATTATTAAACAATTTGATCATTAATAAATACTCCTTCTGTCCCATTTTAAATTGTCTGTTTGCCTTTTTTCTTCGTCCCAAAATAAGTTGCCTGTTACTTGTTTTCGTAAACTTTTAAGAGTAAAATACCTAAACCACCCCTAAAATTAGTCACTCTTTTTCACCTTATCTTCTCATTCATCGTCACCTCTTCTAAAAAGTAATGGTAATTTTGGAAAATCAACTTTATTTTTTATTTTCCTTAAATATGTCCAAAAGTCAAAACGGGCGATTTAAAACGGACGGAGGAAGTACAAAGTACTATTTCATATAAATAAATGTTCCAGAATACAAAAGAATTGATAAATTAAAACTATATCTAAATTTTGGAACACTTTGAAATTAATCAAATGATACTGAAATTATATACTTGACCAAGAAAAAATAAAATGTAAATCTCATTTTGGAACATATATTAATTTACGTAATTATGTAAATCTCATTTTGGAACATATATTTTCAATGTTTTACTTTTTTTTTAAAGTTTTTTTTCCTTTTTCAAAATCATAGGGTGTTGAGGATTCTGCATTAGAAAAAGGAATAAAATACCACTAGTATATATAAAAAGACGAAACTCTATTTATCACATTAAGCTTTGGGTTGATAGTGAATCTTGACTATATATGAAAGTGACTAATTTTACTCAACATTCTGTCCCTTAGACTAACTTTTGTTGTTAGATTTTTCTTTTTCCATTTTTTGATTGTTTGACCATTTTGATTTAATAAGTGACACGATAATGTGACAAATGTGTGAACTTTATAGTTTATACTCCATATCTATTAATAACCTTAACATTTTCAATTGACTGCTAGCATAATGTGTAAAACTGTAAACTAAATTATTATTAGGAGGGTGGGACTCTGCACCGGATGGTCGATATGCTTGGGGTTATTGCTTTTTAAGAGAAAATACTTCAGACCGTTATTGTAACGTTACTCGAGAATGGTCTTGTGCTCCTGGCCAATCCTATTTTGGACGCGGTCCTATTCAAATCTCTTAGTAAGTACTACTCATCCCGACAAATTGAATTATACTGCGTACTGAGTGTAAACTTATTATGTGAATGAGTGATTTTCTATTCTTTTTTTCAAAATAATACGTCATGCATGGATCCAAAATTCAAACAAAAAAATAATTAGTAAATCATTAATTTGGTACCAGATTGGCAATCATTACTTTACTAGTTGTTTTTCCTAAACAATACGCTAATATGGTTGATAAAAAATGCTAATACCGAGTGAATTGAATCAGTGGTGGTTTCAAATCAAATTTTGTAGTTGTAATCAATAAAGAAATATAAAACCTTATGTGTGGATTTAGGAACAATGAGGTTTGTAGCTCAAGTGAGTGATTTATGTGTTATCACCCGAATGTGAATCATTAAAAGAAATTTTGAGACGGGTCTCCGTTGTGAGCGGCAATGAATTTGAGCATGCATTTTGACCTAAGCTAATTAAAAAAAAATATACACAATAAATTTGAGCATGCATTTGGGCCTAAGGCCACAAAATAAATGGGCTTAGTCCAGTAGGGCTGCTTGGTCCCTTGATAGTTTTTATATGGGTGTTTCTAAATCTATCTCATTTACGAAAATTGGACCAATCTATCTTTAAGCTAAGTTCACATGTTTTCTTTCAATTTTTTCCAATGTTTAGGGATAATTGTATAACTAATGGTATATAGCTATAATAGATGTAGATTTAGCAACACCCATAAACAAGTGAAATTGTGACAAACACAACTTAATGTGTTAAGGAGTATTTGACACTATAATTTCATTTTTTAAAAAAACAAATTCTTTAAAAGAAAAGAGTACTGATAACTAATGTGAACAAAAGTGGCCTGGCATGGATTTAGCCAAAATACTCCCTCCGTCCCATGAAACATTTCCCGTTTCAAAAAATGGCGCGCCTTTAAAATGAGTAATTTTGGTGCTATTTTCTAATTATGATTAATCTATTCTACACATCTCATCCTACTCTTTTATAAAGTAAAGGCAAAATTAGAAAATAATATCAAAATTACTCATTTTAAAGGCGTGCCATTTTTGAAACGGAAAATGTTTCATGGGACGGAGGGGTATAACATTTCAGATAATTGATCTTAATTTCTACAGCAACTACAATTACGGAGCAGCGGGAAAGGCGTTGGGCTACGACCTGATAAGTAACCCGGACCTGGTTGCCACGGACCCGACCCTCTCCTTCAAGACCGCCCTGTGGTTCTGGATGACCCCCCAGGGATCCAAACCCTCGAGCCACGACGTGATGACGGGGCAATGGACCCCGTCGGCGGCCGGGCGGGTCCCGGGCTACGGGCTGGTCACCAACATCATAAACGGCGGGGTCGAGTGTGGTGGGGGCGGAGCTGGTGACAGAGTTGCGGACCGGATCGGGTTCTACAAACGGTACTGTGACATTTTCGGTGTCGCCTATGGGGATAATTTGGACTGCTCCAATCAAACTCTCCATAACACACTCTCTAATTTCTCAACTCCCCACCCCTGGAAATAAAATGAAGAATCTTCACTCTGTGATAATATAGTACTGTATACGTTTTGATGTAATTCTTGTGTTTAAAATAATGAAGAATCTTCACTCCGTGTACATAGTATTATTATTGTATAATTTTTGATGTAATTCTTGTGTTTAAAATACTACTCTCTTCGTTTCTAAAACATGGTTCCTATTTTCACTAATAAGTGAAATAATGAATGTCTATTTGTAATTATTTTTCCAATTTTATCTTTGATGTGATGAGTAAAAATAGTTTTTTAATAAAATGTGAGTATTTTGGAGAAAAAGAAAAAAAAGAGAAAATATTTTAAAAAACAGAAGGAATATTCTCTTAATAAGGAGGTCTATTATTTATATTCTTATCAACCATATATTGTAACATGAACGGCCATTTGTCGTCGCCATACGTACTGCCATTCGATGCCGTCAACTGCCATCGTGAGGTCGCCAAAGTGCCGCCATCCACAACATGTCATCACACAACTACATTGTCACCACATTGTCATCAAACTTTTATTTAGAGAATTGAAACTATGTCACTCATATTTTTGTATTCTTATTTAATTTTACTCCATCTAGTAACATACCTTAAAAAAAATATGCACCTTCGTCCCCAAATGAAATATCTTGTTTGACTTCACAAAATTTAAAAAAATGTAAAAAAAGTAAAAGATGCATGGACAAAATTAATTTGGAATATAGAGAACATTGTTTTTTTCCTTCAAATGTTTAGTCTCAAAGATTCGAATGTTTAGCGATTACACATGACCATTCGTCCTAACAACCCCATAACTTTTAAAAAATTACAAACTTCTAAATGTTTTGGTTTAATCATTCAAATGTTATGTTACTCAATGAGTCATGTTGTTTCCCACGACAAACACGTCTGTTTGGATTTTGATGTATCCAGGGTATGTTTGAGAAATATGAAACTCCAATACTCGCTCTAGATACTTATCAACTTATTATGTCTAATCTGATTGAAGTATTTTGGTATACTAGAAATAATTTTAAATTGAAAGTGTATTTCATGTGATTTGTTAAGTCTATCAAGTGTCTTCACCGCGCCACTATATAGCATTGTCACCCATCCCAGATTTGCAACACAATTCCAAGCATTCCATCTTAATAAGCTTGGATTGGATTTCAAGATGATCTTAGACTTTTCTAAAACCTTTTATATATTTCTACACTAGCAAGATCTTCCAAGGAGTAACCACAAATTGTAATACTTTCTCCATCTCAAATTAATTGACACAACTCAGCTTCACAACGTTTAAAAAAATTATGGACCACACATTCTTTATTTTAGTAGAAACGTTAAAGAATGTGATACTTTTTTCGGGACAAACTAAAAAATTGAGACATTTAATTCAGGAGGAAGGGGGTACTCTATAGGATAATTTAGAGGTTTCACATATCACTACTTTATTCAAGATTATTCCACATTTACCAAGATACTGGAATGATTTAGAAAATGTTGGAAGTTAATTTTTTCAAGCAAAAAAAAACAAGGCTTTAATAGATGTTGGAAATCACCACAAACAATATACCATATACACTCAAATAGTTGATGATTAGAAAATTATTTTTCAAGAACCAAAAATATTCATCTAAACACTCAAATATAACCGTGAAAACAGTATAATATACCGAGTAAAACTTTTCCGAAGCCTCTAGTTAATAAACATCAAGTTTAATTGGTTTACTTGATATAGGCCCAACGATAATGCATGGGATGAATCAATTATTATTATTATTATTATTATTATTACTATTATTATTATTATTATTACCAGGTAGAAACAAACAGATGAGCTGTATTTGTTCATAAAATATTAATATAAATATTAATAATGATCGAATTAATTAAAAGAATGGTTTGATGCCAACTAATATGGGAACAATGTTGGACCATGCTCCTCGTGCACACTATATAAAAATCCAATACCATTAAATAACTATAACTGCCATATCTTTATGTATCTTGGAACTGCTTCTTCATCTCTCTTAAGGTTCTTCCCATACAGACAACTTTGGGAAGCTATCAGTCATTATTTTATTAGTTTGGCAGACATTGTTTGGGCAAATGAATCTGTGGTAAGCTTGAGTTGGCTAATGGCCTAGATGCATTGGGTTGGGAAAGTACAAGACTGATTTAGCCCTAACAAATCTATGCTAGCTCCCTTTTAATTACTACTTTATATCAGACCCAACCCAATTAATTAATTAATTTACTAATTATATATGTGTGTGTGTGTGTATTGTCATAATGACTAATGAGTCGCAATAAATTAAGTCATAAAATCTATTTATAGCAGCGAATAAATTATAAAAATATGTTGGGAGTTAAAAGTATGACGTACCGACCTCAAGAATCCAAGGAGATGTAAAAATGGAACTCCTGCACATTTTGATCCGATCAAGGAGCTTAAACTGAGAGGCCATAGGTTCGTCATTGCAAACAGCGGCAGCAAATCCCTGAATGATATAAAAAGAGCAATGATCTTGAACAAGAAAATACAAAAATAATAAAAACAAACTACATTGGTGATGAACATCTTGAACTTGACCACATGGGCTCATGGTAGGTGTATAACCACACCTACCATTGTGTGTAGGTGTGGTTATACACATACACCTCGTACCAAGTTCGATTGACAAGTTTGCTGCTACGTTTAGGGTTCATGATACCACATGCTAGTTGCTACTACAACAACAGCCAGCATAATCAAGGGTGAGTGCATACAGATCTTATACATATCTAGAAAAAGTAAAAAGATTGTTTATGAAAGACCACCGACTCGAGCACAAAAAGCACAAAAGAGTAGACAAAGCACATATGAAGGATGATTTAAGTAGGGAAATTTAAAGAAAAAAAAACAAGCAAGTCATGTCTGATAACCACGCTATAACTTGTTTGGGTATACCTCGAGACCTCAAATTCCCCACCACCAGCCTCCACCGTCTCACAACTCTTCATTGAAGCTATATATTTTTAACTCTTCATGTGCATGTGTCCAAACCATTTTAGTTTAAATTTGTGCATTTCATACTCAATAGATTCTACTCCCCCTCATCCCATATATCTTTCCAGTACTCTATCCATCTTCGTACACTCACGCATCCAAGACTCTATCTCATACAACATAGTTTGTCTAACCACGGCTCAATAAAATTTACCTTTCAGCTTCTCTCACACATTCTCACCGCAGAAGACACATGAAGTGGTAGTACGGACTACAAAGTATTGCGGAGTATTATTGAGTGATCAATTGTATTTCTTGTGTTATGGTCACATGACTTCATACAAAAAATGAATTTGGAGTAGTAATTAAGGAGGGGAACAACAATATGAGTAGGAAAGAATGATTGCAAAATACTTAATATTACAAATTTAATATTTCCCATTTTAAAGATCATGCAAAAGAAACCCCACATGCATTTACTCCACATGCTTACGACATGGACATAAAGTCCTAAAAAATTAAAATGAATTGAAAAAAAAATGAAGCAAGAAAAGCCAGTTTACCTTCCATTTGTCTTCTTTAGGTGTATATTTTTTGTATAAAAGGAGTGGAAATGCTTGATCACAACACAAATACAAACCCTTTTATGAACTTCTACTCAATCAGAAGGATGATTACTCTGTCATCTTCTAGGTCCCTTAACCGCTACCATGTTCGTTCCGTTAGCTTCCCTGGTAGATCACATCCTTGCACAAACAAGATTGAACAAGTGTTGAACAAGATTAAAACTTGGGATTCACCATTTTCTTCTTCTTCTTCTTTATCTTCTCCAAAGCCAGAAAAGGTCTACGAACTTCTGCCCATGCTTGTAGAACTCTACGAATGCATAGAACAACTTCTCGCACTTCCCATCACTCAAAGCCATCTTTTCCAGCATCATCAAGACACTTCAGTCGATGGGTTGCTAGAAGGATCCGTCAGATTCATTGACATATGCAGCAGTACAAGGGAGATGGTCGTGATGTCCAAAGAAGCTATCCATGAACTCCAGTCCGTCTTTAGACGAAACAAGGTGGGTGATCATCTGAACATTGAGAGTGGGATTGATTCATATGACCGTTCCAGAAGAAAGATGCATAAGGAGATTGAGAAGACACTCACAGTGTTAAAGCAGGTTGATAATGGAGCAGTTTCCCGTTCAGATTCCCCCATAATCAGGGTCCTTGAGGAGGCAAGTCTTGTCTCTGTCTCTACATTTGAATCCCTGCTGATGTTTCTTTCTTCTGTACCATTCCTGAAACCAAAGCCTAGTAGATGGTCATTGGCTTCCAAGCTTATGAGGCAGAAAGGAGTATTGACCAATTATCATCATGGTAAAAAGGACAACAACCTTAGTGATATGGAGAAAGTGGATCTTGCCTTGGGTGATTTAATTCTCCATAAATGTGACAAAGAGGGAGGAGGAGCAGAAAAGCTTGAGTTGGCTCAAAGAAGGCTGGAGACACTAGACATCAAGAGTGAAATTCTTGAACATGGTTTGGAGGAGTTGTTCAAACATATGATCCGTATCAGAGTGTCCCTCCTAAACCATATTTCTGAATAGAATTAGCCATTCCCGTGTAATTCATTTTGGTTGTTTATTTCATCTTTGCCTGCATGTCAAGCTCAAGATCTTTGAACTCCTGAAGCTATGATTGTGCAGGTAAATGAATGAATAAATGTATAGGAAACTAAAGGATGTAACATGTTAAGTTCGAGAAATGTCTTTTTGCTAAACACTACCTTTGCCACAGTGAGAATATCCCACTACAGGTCCTAAAGTAAACAATTACTCCACAGATACTACTCCGTACAAAGAAATAATGCATAAACAATCCATGCAAATAGAAGAGAGTGAAATCCTCAAATCTGCTCTGCCAAAAAGAACTGCTTTGGCCAATTTAGCCAATCAAGGTCTAGGCATTAGTACATCGAAAAGCAGCTCAAAGAAAGGAAATACATGAATGGTAGCCCGATTCACTTTTCATAACGTTCAGTTCAAAACAATGGAGGCAATTTAAGCTAACAGTGTCTCCTTCTCATAACAATTATAATGATAATGTCCTTACCCATTCAAGAACAAACTATATCCCAACAATTGTAAAAACCCATGAAAACAGGAGCAACTCAAATAAATTAAGTCAAATATCAAACAGGAGTACGGAGTAGTATGTTGGGAAGAGGAATTGGAGAGGAAAATGAAAATCTTTTCTATCAACTGCTCTGCTCTGCCCAGGCCATCATCAACCACCCTTCTTAAGAATTTCTTCTGAGGGAATTTCAAGTGTAGCCCCAGCGTGCTCCATTCCCGGCTTCACGGCTGCAACATAAAAAAAATCACCAGAAAAATCAGAAAAACATGTAAATCGATCAGATTTCGGAAAATGCCTCTGCGGCAATTCAACAAACAGGTAGCGTGGAGGTAGTCGTAATGTCGTGGCGCGAGAGATTCGATCAGAGTAAGGGTTTACCGAAACTGCCTTTGTCGGTGCGGTGAGCTTGGACGATCATGGTAGAGATGAAGGAGGAGGCTTCGCGCGCGTCATCAAGAAGCTGTTTGATCTCTTCCTCCGACTTGGCGTCCCGGTTCTCCTCAAATTTCTTCCTCACCTCGGCTGCCGATTCCCGGAGCATCAGGGTGTCGCCGGCGAAGGTCTTCCGCGTGGCTTTCAGCAACGCTCTGTAGGCTAGTAGAGCTTCACTTGCTGCTCTCCCGCCTCCCATTTTTAGTGCAGCGCGTCTTAGAAAGAGTTTTCAGGATCACCTTTGACACTGATCCTATTTACAATTAGAGAAAACTACGGAGTAGTTTTAGATTATTCTCCATTTTCTTCCAAGAATTCTCAAATTTAGATTATCTAAAGTATTTATGAAATTATAGGTCCTTAAAATTTGTGATAATGTATTTTAGGTCTCATTCCATCTATTTGTTCCTAAGAATTAAAAATTTTGTAATTATAACCAACTAAATACCAAAAACTTACTCTGAGGTACTTACATTTTCTATTCAAAAGACAGACTATTAAATAGTTTTAATATATTGAAAATGACAAATTTAATTTTTTAAAATTGGAAACTATATATAAAAAATCAGGTTAAAACGGATCATATATGGATTTCTTTTCTCAAATTAACTATTGCCTCGTGACATACATAACTCAAGTGGTTGAGAACAATAAGAAGTGAGTCTTTTTTTACTCCTAACTATAAAATAAAAAGTAATTTTATAATTGGTCATTTATAACATGTAGTTTTTCATAATTAGCTTTTTATTAATAAATATTACGTTTGTGATCCTTCTTTTGTGGGTACCTTTCTATATTTAGTATTTTTTAACCTTATATCATGTTGGTGATAAACTAAGCGCTGAAAATGTAATTTTACATCGACTCCATGTGCAACGATGCATTCTGATGTCTGTTTGACGGACAACACAATGACAATGACTATGATTGTGGAGTATGGGATGACATATGTAGACTATGGATGTAGTTGACTGTCACTCCATTTGAAAAACTAGACATCAATAGTGATTTTTTGCATCAGTTATGACAAAATATATATATATATATGATCATTATAAAATTGCATGTCTAACCTTCAACTTAATACCAAGATCGCAAAAGGTAAAAGGAACTAAACGTGAAAAAATTCTCATAAAAAGATCACCGACCTAATATTTGATAATAAAAACCTAAATATGAAAAATTAAGCACTAAACATGGAATATATAATGGATCAATTATAAAACTTATTCTAAAACAAGTTATTCGTTAGTCTCTTTCTCAAGTTAAAATGGATCATAAATATCATTTCCACTCCTAACAATAACAATGAAAAATTGAATTTTTTTGTATTAAGAGCTTCCAATTTCTATCAACTAGGAGTATAATGAAATGAGTTTTGTTAACTTGTCACAGATACATACAGACATCAATTGTCTGAGGAGATATTTGCATGTATCTCTCACAAGCTTAGTGTATTGGTATACAAAAGTTGGGAAACCCCTGGCTTTTTTCTAAGAGATGAATTAATTGCATTAATAAAAAAAACAGATGGATTAATTTTGTGCAAAGTTGTCGGCTGGCAAAAACATCGTGGACCGTCCGAACCTCCACGCTAAGCTTGCTCATTTGTTTCGTGCTCCTTTTCTTTTTCTTCTATCAAAACTCCAAATTTCGACCGTTATGGTTCTTAATCATGCTTTTAAACCCCCTTCTCTCTCTCTCTACGTTCTTGGAGCAGAGCAGCCATGGCAGTCGGCCACTGGAAGAGAGCGATGAAGATCGGACTCTCCTCCCTCTTCCGCCGCGGCTTCAACTCCTCCAAATGGTTCTCTCTCTCTCTCTCTCTCTCTCTCTCTCTTTCTAATTCTCCTTCTTTCTTTCTCCTTGAAATCTCTTTACTTTCCCCTTTTCCCAAAATCCCTTCGCCCCACAATTTATCCACAAACCCACAAATTCTGCTCTCTGATTATGGGATTTGTGCTTATGAACTGTAAAAAACCAGCAAGACAATGGCGAGGATGACGACAGCAAGGATAAAGCTTCTGAGGAACAAGAGGGAAGTGGTTGTGAGGCAGATGAGGAGAGACATAGCCATGCTTCTCGAGTCCCGTCAGGATGCCTCTGCTCGAATCAGGGTACCCTTTCCTTGCTCTCTTCTTTGGCTCCCAATTTTAATTGCAATTTTTGTTTAATAATCCTGAATTTTAGGGTTTACTTTTAGGCATATGCTCTTAACAATTTTTTTAGTTCAAACTGTTTACTATTGTAATCAATTTGAAAGAATCACAATATATGTGATCATATATTGATTCATCAGGATATAGAATAGGCTCTTGAAAGCCTTTACTCCAAAACCACTACTTCCAAACAGAGCATAAGGGTGGTTTCGTGGACGAAAGGTGATATTACCGATGGGAGAGTAAGATTATCAGATATGTCTGGTGCAGTTTGTGAGAGTGTAATGTTATCACGCTCTAAATGTATTGCGACAATGCGTAATTTATGTGCAAAAAAGGAATTTTAAAAAGTAATCTCGTACGGAGTATTACCTAAGAAACCTGATTACCCTAGCATTACCTCTTTTGTCTATGTAGTGTTTAATCAGATACAACCTCGGTAACCTATGGATTACTAATGTTCTTGAAGTGTTTCAAGTGCACCATGGAGCTAGAAGAGTCATTCTTGATAGTATTGTGTAAATAATGGACTAAATTAAAATAACTTGTTAAACTTCATTTGTTTCTTACTTTCTATGAAGTTTTGGATAGTGGATGCAGAAATATATCTAGGGTCTAGTTGTATAAGTGACAACTTTACTAGACCCCACGAAGTTGCGGTTATACGCGGTTCTCTTGTCATCATCGTTGTTTTTGTGCTCGGTCCATTTTTCTATTATTTGCGAAGCAATGGTGTCCCTTTTTGTTCATGTAAACTATGATGGTCATGTAGGTTGAACATGTAATGAGAGAACAGAATATGTTGGCAGCAAATGAAATCATTGAGCTCTTCTGTGATCTTATTGTGTCAAGGCTTGCTATTATTGCAAAGCAAAGGTGCCCCTTTTCTTTTTTCATCAATACAGTTATGCAAACACTTTCATGTTAACTGTAATTAATTTTGTGCTGAGAGTGACTTTATTCATGTGATCTTCCCATTCTGTTCCAGAGAATGTCCTGCAGATCTGAAAGAGGGAATATCAAGTTTGATATTTGCAGCCCCCCGGTGCTCTGAGATTCCTGAACTTGTGGGAATTCGTGATGTTTTTGAGAAAAAATATGGAAAGGATTTTGTTTCTGAAGCTACTGATCTGAGACCCAATGCTGGCGTGAACCGTATGGTACACAATTACATCTGTTTCCCTTTAAAGAAAAGAACACGTGGCTCGCAATTGATATCTTCTAAACCAATTTCAACCACACATTCTTGTATTTTTCAACATTTTTCTTAAACTTCGTGAAGTCAAACTGTGAACTTCATTTTGAGATGGAGTATGCTTTTGAGAGAATTGGAATACTCTGTATCATAATCCTTTAAAGAACTAAGGAAAAAGATTCTAGGGCAATTGTGCCCTAGAATAAGGTTCAAAAGGAGTACAAAACTTTATAGTTTCTTTCATTCCAAAGTAGAGTATCTTTCAAGAACTCAAACAAATACTCTGTTTCTTCATGCTGAAGCTGATTGAGAAGCTGTCTGTAAAAACCCCAAGTGGTGAGGCGAAACTGAAAATCTTGAAGGAAATCGCGAAGGAGTACCAGGTGAAATGGGACACGGCTGAGTCTGAGGTCGAGCTTCTCAAAGCACCCGAAGAGCGTATAGTATGTTTTTTTGTTCTCCTCTCTCACTTTGTTGCTGGGATACATTAATCTTCTCTGAGCCTTCCATTAAAGCAAAAAATGTGGATCTGATCAGGAAGGACCAGCCACTTTTGTGAGTGCTACCAGCTTACCTATTAAGCAACCAGTTCCCAACAGTCACACCCATCTGTAAGTTCATCAGGTCTTGATTCTGATTTCCCCAATAATGTTTTTAGTTACTCTTTCTTTCTTTCATCAACATGAAAACTTGTTGGAAACAGAAACACAAATAATGGGAATTTTGAAGACAGTGCATCAGCAGCTAAAGCGGCTGCTGAATCTGCGCGGCAAGCTATAGCTGCTGCTGAAGCAGCAGCTTACCTGGCCAACGAAAAGCTAAGAGCATCCAATGGTCGTGGGACGAATTACCTCAATACCCTTTCTGGAATTCGCGATAGCAAGTGTTTCCCAAATGGGCTGCCACAAAGTCCTCAAACCTCTGGTGGGGACACAAATGCTGCAAAAATGACCCGCAGACATAGCTGCAATGTGCCTCCACGCGGTAGTTCAAATAGCGTCAAGTATGATGAATCTGACTGTGATGAAGAGATAGAGATGGAAGAAGGCCATAGAAATCATGATGATGGTGATGACATGCCTTGTAGTGATTTTGATTCCAGACACTTTTGTAGGAGGCACAGCTACAGTAGCTTGCCGGAGCATCCTCCCGTGCTGCCTAGGGTTCATCCCAAATTGCCAGATTATGACGCGCTCACTGCTCGTTTTGAATCACTCAAGAACCCAAAATACTGAAATCAGGATTCAGCTCCTACTGTGCAGGTCTGCCTCACCAGTGAAAATTCTTCATCTCAAGTCACAGTTATGTCAAAATGGAAGGTCTCCATGGATAGTAGTTTTTGATGTATTTTCAATCTATACATATGTACTTTCTGCCATTTATTCTATAGTAGAATTGAAAGTGAAAGCCAGATAAAGAGAATTTCAATAATGAAGGGAAATAAAATTTTATTTAGTGGAACTAAGTTGAAAATAAATCCATGCTTTTAAGCCAGATAAAGAGAATTTCAATAATGAAGGGAAATAAAGCTTGATTTAGTGAACTTAACTGAAAATAGATCCATGCTTTTGGACTGAAATCTACCCATGTAAAAATTGTTGAACACTGGATTGAAAATAAGTTGAAAAGAACAAACAATGTTTGCCCAACTATGTTATTGACCTTTAAAGAGATCAATGTATTAAGTTGTCCAGTTTTCACTTTTCACCCATGACCTTTCACTAATTAAATTAAAGGATCGCTAACGATACACTAGTGTACATTACAACACAGTCATTACCAACAAACAAAACCACAAACGGCCAACACAAACCGTTACTAACTCAAGTCAGGAGATGGGCGGGCTAAGTCATTAACAGCAACAACGGCAAGACATGACATCAGCACATGTATAAGGCTTTGACTTCTCTTCTATTTCCATTGCCGTTGGCAGAGGTTGCATCTTGTACATGCTGCTGCTTCGGTCACAACAAAAGTTGTACAGATTTCTGCAAACCCCTCTACTAAATGGAAACACTCTTTCAGGTATCCCCCTGCATTTACATTTTTTTGGTTGAGAGGATTTCTTTAATGAGCAATATAATGTTTGGTGTTCTACTTCAAGTGTGTGTTACCAAATAGCAAATTGTTAGAACAAACCTTAAGTATGGTATCCTTCGACGTCTAACAAGCTCATAAGTACTCTGGTTTGTTAAAACAAGGTAGCTGTTTCAAGACAAAAAGAAGTCAGGTTTTTTAGTTCAGTTTACTCGAGACTGAATAATTTAGCAAGACAACAGTGCCTAATAACATGATGATGGTGATGATATATGTGAAAGTGCAACAGCCAAATAGCGCAACTTAGAGCACCATATCAGTACCTATGAAAAAGTAGTAGGAGAAGCAAAAAAACAAAGAAAATTGATAGTGATGCCAGCAATAGAATCACAAGTCCATACACCCACCTGAAAAATGAAAGCATAACATTAGTTTTAGACTACTCAACGATATATGCGGAGTATTAAATGCTCTTACGACTTGGCCTTTAAGTTTTAAGAATTGAATAGGTTGATTGGAGAAGAGAAATGGGTCTTCATATGTTTTTATCTCTTAACAATCAATTTTAAATTATATAGAGAATAAAATATCAACAATGGAAGTTGGTGTACTTTCTGATTTTATGTCATTATCCATCCAAAACACATTTTTTGCATCTAAACGTTATTTCGCATTTTCTCCTAAATAAAACAATGAATAAAAGGAAAAATAAAGCAGAATATATGGATAAATTGCAAATTGAAGTGGTACATACATACCATGCCTTTGATATACTAGATTTAAGGAACTGAATGTATAAGATTCCAGTCCAAATGCACAAACATGTTTCCTCGAATATATACCACCTGATGCGATCAATTAAACATATAAGCATACAAAATTTAACATAGTGTAAATAATACACCATTTGTGGACACACACAGGCACACACACATTCATCAAGCAACTTTTTAACTCATAACCAAGGATTTCATAGGCAGACACACATTCAGCAAGCAACTTTTATGCTCACCAAAAACGGCAATGGTTACCCTTCCCTATACAAGTCCCCAGCCATACACAATGATGGTCGTACTCAAGAACACATTTGTCACAATCATGACAGTGCTTAGCTCGAGGAGGCTGCAGAAAAATTTTCAAACAGAAAATACGATCAGTCATGAAAAGTAATGCTAAATAGTACACACACACGCGCGCGCACACACACACACATATATATATTGGTTTACTGCATTTGGAAGGCATAACATATGGGGAACTCTCCTGTTGCAATTAATGTTCTGAGGCCCATATGTTGATATTTCTATTACAACGCGCATGAGTGCATAATGCAAAAATAAAAACATGATTTCAGTAGGAGCAAAAAGAGAAGTGATTCTACCTGCAAGCAGTGGCAGTAGGAGCAAGTCCAGTTTCTGCAAACACACATAAAAGCTATTCTTTAGTTCTATATATCCACTGAATGTATGTAATGCGATAAAGCATTTAGTACAACAACAGCCCAGTCGGACATTTAGTACGTACATAAATCGTAGATACTACCCACCTGACTGATGATCCAGGGGGATACAAATCCATCACTAACTTTGTCCATGGCGTTGCATTACCGTCTAAAAGACTTTGTTCTAACTGCTTCCTATCAATTGTAATTACTACACTGACATTTTTGCTTGAAGCAGGTTGTCTTTGCTTGATCATTTAACATGAACACAAGTAGAAGAAAGGAAATAGTTAGTAACCATACATTTTTCACTTTACAACACCTTCTTAAACTCTGTAAAAGTGAAACAGGTAAAATATTTTGGGACGGACGGAGTAATAATGTTATTTCAAAGTGATCTTACTTTGAGGCCCCTGATGTACTATTATACAAAGCAGCTGCCTCATCAACAGCCCTCATTGCGTCAAGAACATACCTAGATTTAAATAGGTAAAAGAAAAGCTTTAGACATTTAGTCCATGCATTTCGATCTTATGGGTCCAATAGAAAGGAGTAAACTAAAATTACCCAGGAGATGAGTAAGAAGTGATGAAATATTGAACCAGAGTGCTGATGAACAACAGCAAGTACAATGCAATGTACCTGGATGGAAAAGTAGGATGGTCATTTCTAAATTTTATGAGCATGAGTTAAAAGACATAACTAAAACGATAGGCATGACCCATAAAATCCAGAATTAACTAGCTCTACAGACCACGGGGATGATGAAAGTAGGAGATCATTGGGTAAAACAAACACCATTACTTCATCAGTCATGTAATGAAATATGGGACAAGGGTCATGTCCACCAAAATTAAATTGTGACCCCTTCAGCATACTGACATTCTAACTCAGAGGTGACAAATGTATGCATTTTTTATTCTTTCATTTCATCCACTGCCACTTAAAAAGTTAGAATTGTTAATCCAACTATGCAGTACCGAAAAACAAATTCAGCAACTTAATAATTGCATTGTCATAAGAAATGCCATACCATAAATAGTGTTGTTGATTAAATACCAATTTCATATCTCTAACTTACTACAGACTTTACAGAGTAGTATGTGAACACTAGGCTTATTTGGCAGCCAGTTGTTAGCTATTAGTGTAGTTGCTCTATATAATATCTAAAAAAAACCAGGCTTTTGTAAACTAGGCTTGAAGAACAGTTGCTCTGAAAAGATTTAAACAGATGCTCCTAAAATGCTAGAAAATCAAAATATTTGTAAACCAGCTCTTTGATGACCTAAAAGCTCTTCTCCAAACACTCCATTAAGATGTCATTAAACAAAAAAAAAAGTCTTTTTCACAGAAATTCCTCCAAGAAACTCCTCTGCAAACACCCCCACAACCTTGGTTTTATTAGAAAAGAAAACATTTAAACTCAAGCTAACACAAGTATACTCATAATAACAGCGCAAAAGACATGAGCATTACCAAGGTTCTTTTCTGGCTTTCTCAATTAACCCTCTATCAAACACAAGTACAAACCCCGCGTTTACCAGGTGCAGCACCACCAGCATTACTCGCAAGCAGAATGTCGATCTCCGAGCTAAAACGTTTCAAACATCAATTCACTCAAAAAAAGGGTAACAAGCACACCTCCAGGCTCACTCAAAGATAAACAAAATTGAGAATTGCGAGCGTCGAGCTTTACTGACCTGGATCAGAGAAGCAGGGCGCGAACCTGGAGCAGCGGTCGGAGAAGCGATCCCGTGTGTCGCGACACAGGTTAACGCAGTGTGCACCCATCGTCACTCAACGGCGCGGGCGATTCTCAGAACCGCATTCCGATTCTCGATCCTCTGTAGAAAGCTGTGGAGGGAAGACAATGGAGGGAGATGGGGAGATTCCAATTGAGGTTCGTTCGATTCCTATTCAGGTCTCCTTTCCGGATCCGTGAGAAGCAAGCTAAGCTGTTGTTGTCTGAGTCAACTCGGCATGCCGCCCGGGTGTCATGTGCTGTTTGGATATATTGGACATGAGAGTGGATCACCAAACTTCTGATTTTTAAAACCTAAAACAAAGTGGATATACCTAAACCAACCCATTTAGAACAAAAAGAGGTCCATCCCACCCATGGATGAAAACATCAATCACTACGACGTTGTTTGGAAATAACATTTTTAATTAGTATTAGTATTTTGAATAAAACTTTAAGAGAGATACTTACATGATCTTGGAAAAATTCGCCAAATGCACTAAGGTTCATAAAATGAGCATCGATCTTAAGTCCACGGAAAAACTCACCAAATTTTAATGCTGTAAATTAATTTTAAAAATACTAACACTGAAAGCTATCATTTGATAATTTTTTTCAAAATGCTAACAGTAAGCTCTAACGCTATTGTCAAGTGGGGCCTACATGATGTCTCTTAACTCTACAAAAATCCTACAAATATGGCCATATTCCTTCATATTTTTACAAGAATCCAAACTCCCAAAATTCATATTTCATATTTCTACATGTGTTAATCTTTTTGCTCCTAATTCTCTGTATTTTGGATAAAAACGCTTGGCTTTCTCCTAATTTTTATACACACATTGAGTTTGGGATTATAAGTATATACTTTCATATTCATAGGTTGAACTTGTAATTATTTTAGAGAGCATGATCTTTGTTATAAAATATAATCTTCATTCTTCACGGGCCGTTATGACTTTATCATAGGTAAATAAGTTGAACTTATTTCATGTGTTTGTGTACACATTTCACCAATTGTAACGGTCAAAGATCACCGTAGAAATTCTTGTATGAACGGTAAAAAATAGCTCCTGGAGTAAATGGTTCAAGGATAATCGTTAAATCCTTGACTGGGAAAAGGTAAAAGATAACTTGAAAATCTCTGGTTTAAACGTAAGAGATAACCGTTATGTAATCTCGGGGTAAATCATATTGGCAAGAATTGTTTAACAAAAGCTAGTATGATACTTTAACGGGGTTCAAGACACCATAAGTTAGTAAATTCGAAAATTTTTGAGGAGCTTTAAGGTACTTGAGTAAAAATTTTCCAAACCAGTATAAATTAATGTGTCATTTACTTTATGCTTTTAATTTCTACATTATTTTCATTGCTTTCGCGTTTTCAAACATCGATTTTATTAAAATTCAAAAAAGTTAAACAACTTATTCACCCTTCTCCAAGGCTTGAGGACATCGACTAACACACGATGTCTCTTAATTCTACAAAATGCGAGGGGTAACACCAAGTTGTTAATACCACAGACGTTTTTGAAATTGTACACACACGGATTATAATCGTCTGTGGACGCATGCAATATTACACACTTCACAGTTCACAATCGGTACTCGTGTGTATATGTACAAATTTACAAACAATTGCCAACACAAAAAACTTAATTCTATAATACCGATGACATATCTATGTTTTGATGTCTCGTGTGTGTCTGATAGTTCATTTGGATCCCTATACCATTTCCATACGCCAAAATTGGTTCGTAAATATCATAAAATATTATGGAGTTCTAAACCAGAATATTGATCCTTCTTCCACTGAATTAAGCAATATCACAAAACTCTATATCACTAAGCTAGGAATAGTAGTTATAGAAGCAAATTAAGGTGGTTTTAGGAACAGACAAGTGCAAGAAGGTTTACATTCACAATATTATTTAAAGATTTTAGTTTATATGAGCGAAATTCGAGGCTCAAGCTCTGCTTGACAAATCAACAAGTAAAATTCAATCATACTAACGTCGTTATTGAGTATTTGTCTACTTCTTTTAAAGTTCATGTACCGAGTAGTTTTCTTTTGTTTTCTTCCCTGACCAAACAAGAAAAATGATTTTCCCTCTCATTTTCTTTTCTTTTTCCTTTCAAATTCCTTGAACCAAACATTGTGCAAGAGTTAAGAGAAAATGTGAATTGGTCCATTTGGAATTAACTTGTTTGGGCATATAGACCTTTAGAAATTCAAAAAAAACTTCAAATATTGAAGTTGGTTTCCGATTGCCACTTTCCGGCGAAGGGGACCAGGGCTTCTCCACCGTCGAGGGTTCCCCCCACGAGCTGGTGGGTGTCGCAGAGCCAAACTATTGTTTCGCCTCTTCACAAATATGCCTTTGAAAATAAGTTGACCACATCTTGGTCACCCATTTCAACATTACACTAGTAGATGCACTCCATAACAAATGCACCCCACAATGTTTTACTAGTACTAGAACACTTATTGCATGAACCCAAAGGTTTACAATGCTAAACCAATCCCAAAATCACCTTTTCAAAACTCAACATTCCTTTGATTTTTATTTATAGAGCACAATTTATGATTGCACAAACCATCTAACATAATCTTAACTTTCATACCATGACTAACTACTCTCCGTCAAAAAATGAGGCGTCAACGCTCCTTCAACAAGACTTCATCTTATATGAGCACATATGTGCAAAAGCAGATTAAATATGTAATTAACGAGATAAAAGTACTTAGAGATCAAAGTAATTCTTAATAAGCAAGACCTATAAAAGGACCAACAACAACAACCCGGTTGAATCCCGCGAGAGTAGGGTCTAGGGAGGGCGTGTGAATGCAAAACTTACTCGGGAGGATGTGTACGCATACTTTACCCTAGTTGATGACCTATAATTAGGAATTTGGGACCAGAGTAGTAAAAGAGAGCAGAGGAGAGCTCACGTTATGACAAACGTAGTTTTAAGAGCTATAAGTGCATATTTGTATCTTCAAACAATTTACAAGATCAACCAAATACAGAGTTACCTACATTCCTAAGGAGGGTCAAATTGTGATGCCAGAGCTACCATGCTCACCTCACAAATGGTATGAGCAAGTACTCAGCATAGAAAAGCTGCAAAATAAAAGGAATTCGGTTAGTACAACATCAGGTTACACTGGGAAAAAATTGACTAGACTTGCTTTTCACTGAGAACTTGACATGAAAATACTAGGGTTTTAACCAATTTACCAAACTCGATGATAGCGGAGCACAAAGATGACCCGAAATACTTGATTTTGAACGAAGGTTTTGTTAAGTAGATTCGACCTAACCCACCCGATAAGGTAAGATTTTTTAAAATCATGTATTTTAGTCTAAAATATAAAATGAGAAAAATCATGTGATTGTTTTCGAGAGGCTTTAGTTTGGTCATCCTCTCTTTGTACTTTTATTTTCTTAATACGAAGTTTTCTTTAAAAAAGTAGTTTTATCATTATTTACCATTTTATTGTATAACATTAAAATCATGTTATTATACGACTTTCAAGAAATTTAAGAAAAGTGATGAAAAATGAAATGTAGGGTTCGAAATTGTTTAGATGAGAGAAATATTGTGAGCTACATGTTCATTATTTAAAGAAGAAATAAAAAGGGGAAGTATTTTTTGGGGTCGAAAAGGAAAAGTGAATAAAATATTTTCGGGGTAGAGGAAGTACCTTTTCTAATTTACAATTCAAATAATTATATACTCCATATAAATCACAGCTAAACCAATCCAGAGTAATAATACAATCAAAACTCCAGGCTTACATGAATCTCGAAAACTGGTGTCCTACGAATGCAATAAATGAACTCAACATTTCCATATTTAAACAAGTCATTGTTCATCAACCAAAGAAATGGATTAACAATTACTACTTGCCACATTGACCTCATATTGCCTCGAAGAAAGAGGGCGAATGAGTTTAGTTTGGACCAAGTGAATCAATCCCTCAAAAGCTCACATAGATCCATCCAACATGAAACATCTCAGATTAACCAACTTAATCCCAGAAATTCAAACTCACCCCAAAATAAATCCAAACAACGTCTCAGTTTGCATTATAAAATTGATTTCTTTAAGGCGAGTTTGGATTTCTAAGATTAAGCTGGTTAGTCCGAGATGTTTCGGGTTGATTGGAGCTATATTAGCTTTTGAATTACTAATTCACTAGATTCAAACTAAACACGTTCACCCACTTTCTTCAGGCAATATCAGGTGAATATCATGCAAGTAGTATGGAGTAATTGTTAATCCATTTCTTAATTGATAAACAATGGCTCGTTTAAATATAGAAGCGTTGAGTTCATTTATTACATTCGTAGAACACCAGTTCCCAAGGTTCACCTAAGACTGGAGTTTCTGATCGTATTACTATTCTTGGTTAACTTCGCCATGCGTAATATCTCATATTCAAGATTAACGAAAAATCCCTTATCACAAAAAATCCCTAACCTAAACATATCTTCTTTCTCCCAAATTCCTTCATAATTATTATCACCCTCTACCCCCACATACAACAGTATGCAAATAATACCTTCCATATGAACATGTAGAAAGATGTGATAGCTTCTTTTCTGCTGAAGTCCATTGATCTAGCATTACTCCAAAGTATCAAGGCTAAAGCAGCATGACCAAAAACCTAAAAGCACAGATGGAATTTAATTAGGCAATAGCTGCTGATAGCAAGTGGTACTGGCATTTCAGTAGAAAAAAGGCAAGCAACTAGAAGTCTAGAACACATTTATGTATGATCCAAACTTCGCAATAACCTATAAGAAGTACAACTAGTTAATGATGACCATTTTGCAGACTTCAATTATCTCTAAAAAAAATGCAGTCCAAATATCAGGTTTCTTTAACGAATATGAATTCGAACTGGAAAAATTGTTTATCACTGTTGAATTTTTAATTTGTATTTCTTAAGGCGTCTAACCTCCCCACTCTGTATGGTTTATAGGATTCTTACTGGGTCTGTTGTTGTAGTGGCATCTAGGATCTAAACCGTAGAAAAAACCACAACCTAAATGGATACTCTTTAAAAAAAACATTGAATTTAAGTGGGGGATACTTGCTTACCATTTTCATACCCTACATTTAGCCCCCCACCCACCCCCCACAAATGAAACAACGGCCATTA